ATTAAATCACCAGTGGGTGATGGAAGAGACTAGAAAGGAAATTCAACTGTTCATGATATTCAACAAAAATGAACACACAAAGTATCAGCTCCTCTGGGACATAGCAAAGGCAATATTCAGGCAAGTTTATAGCTCTGAGATCCTCCATCAACATTGTGGAGAGATCTGAAACCACAATTTAATGAGACATCTGAACCTTCTTGAAAAAGGCCAGCAAGATAAACTGCAATCCAGTAGATGGAAATCATTAAAATTAAATCAGAATTAAATGAATTAGAATAAAAAATAGAATCAATAAAACGGAGTTGGTTCTTTGAAAAAATTAACAAAATTCCCTTAGCAAATCTTATCAGAAAAAAAGAGAACACACCCAAATAAACAAACTCAGAGATGAGAATGGAAACATCATCACAGAAACAAGATTCAGAACAGTATAAAGGAATACTTCTCAAACCTTTATGTTAATAAGTTTGGGCACCCTGAACAAATGGACGATTAATATCGACATGCCAAAAGTAAACCAAGATGAGTTAAACCAACTTCACAGGCCCATATGAAGCATTGAAATAGAAGCAAGAATAAGAATCCTCCCATCTAAGAAAAACCCAGGACCAGATGGATTTACAGTGGAATTCTACAAGGCTTTCAAAGCAGAACTCACATCAATACTCATCCAACTCTGCAATGAAATTGAAAGTTCACTAGTGAACTCTTTCTATGAAGCCATCATAACCCTTATCCCAAAACCAGCCAGGGACTCATCAAAGAAAGAAAACTATATACCCATTTCTTTGATGAACATTGAAGCATAACTTCTCAACAAAATTTTGGCCAATCGCCTTCAACAATTCATCCAAAAAAATCATACACCACGATCAAACTGGAATCATTTCAGGGATGCAAAGCTGGCTCAATATATGCAAATCAATTAATATAATTTATCACATCAACAAGAACAAGGATAAGAACCACATGATTATTTCAATAGATGCAGAAAAAGTATGTGACAAGATCCAACATTCTTTTATGATGAAGGCTCTGGAAAAATTAGGAATCCATGGAACATTCCTCAATATAATAAAGGCTGTATATTACAAATCTACAGTCAGCATTATAGCTAATGGTGAAAAACTAAAGCCATTTCCTCTAAACTCAGGAACAAGACAAGGATGTGCACTCTCTCCACTTCTTTCAATTTAGTACTAGAATGCCAAGTTGCAGCAATAAGACAAGATACAAAAATAAAGAGGATCCAAATAGGGAAAGTTGAAATAAAACTCTCCCTCTTTGCAGATGACATGATCTTGTATTTTAAGAATCCCATGAATTCCACTCCCAAATTACTTGAACTGATTCAAAACTTTGGCAAAGTAGCAGGGTTTAAAATTAACCCTCAAAAATCAATGGCTTGTACATCTCATTGTTGCAATGGGTCAACCTGTATCCATATTTAAACAATTAACATGCTATGTCAAAAAACGAACTTGACAATTTAGGAGGGGAAGGGGGGGAAATGTAGTTGTGGAGATGGGAGGGAAGGGATGGTAGAGGGAAAACAAAGTAGGAGGCAAAATGTTTGATAAGAAATGTACTCATTACCTTGCTCATGTGATTGTAACCCCTTTGTACAGTATTTTCACAATAAAAAAACTATTTAAAAAAAATAAATGGCTTTTCTGTATGCCAACAATGTGAAGAGCACAACTGAAATCAGGAAAGCAATTCCATTCATAATAACCCCCCCAAAAAAAATACTTAGTAATTAACTTATCCAAGGAAGTAAAGCTCCTCTATGATGAAAAAATTTTAAAAACCTGAAAAAGATAATCAAAACAGAACTTAGAGAGTAGAAAAACCTCCCATGCTCCTGGATTGGAAGGATCAACATCATGAAAATGGCAATATTTCCCGGGGCTATCTATAAATTCAATTCGATACCTATCAATATTCCAACCTTATTCTTCAAGGAAATAGAAGAAGTAAGCCAAAAATTAATATGGAACAATAAAAGACCCCGAATAGCAAAAACAATCCTTAACAGAAACAACATTAGTGGAGAAATATCAATACCAAATTTCAAACTCTACTACAAAGCCATAGTAATCAAAACAGCTTGGTACTGGCACAAGAACAGACCTCAGGACCAAAGGAATAGAACTGAAAACCCAGAAATGAACCCACAGACATATAGCCACCTAATCTTCGATAAGGGAGCTAAAAAAAATAGAATGGAAGAAAGACAGCCTCTTCAGTAAATGGTGCTGACAAAATTAGTTAATCACCTGTAGAAAACTAAAGCTAGATCCTTATATATCACCCTTCACCAGAATCAACTCCAAATGTATCAAAGACCTCAGAGTCAAAGCAGACACTCTGAAAACATTACAGGACAGAATAGGAGAAACCCTAGGTCTCCTAAGCACAGGCTGAACTTTTCTTAATAGAGACCCAGTAACACAAGAAATCAGAGAAAGGTTGGACAAATGAGATTTCATGAAGCTGCAGAGCTTCTGCATGACAAAGGACATAGCTAGCAAGATCAATAGAAAGTCCATGGATTGGGAGAAGGTCTTCACTAGCCATACAATGGACAAGGGTCTCATATCTAAACTAACTGGAACTCAAAAAATTAAATCCCCCAACAACAAATCCTTAAAGAAACAACTGCCCAATAAATAAGTGGGCTAAAGACTTGAAGAGAAACTTCTCTGAAGAGGAAAGAAGGATGGCCAATAGACACATGAAGAAATGCTCAACATCTCTAGCCATAAAGGAAATGCAAATCAAAACAACACTGAGATATCACCTCACCCCAGTTAGAATGGCTATAATCAAGAAACCTAATAACAACAGATGCTGGAGGGGATGTGATCAGAAGAGAACCCTACTGCATTGTTGGTAGGAGTGTAAACTTGTTCAACTACTTTGGAAAGTAGCATGGAGGGTCCTCAAAAGACTCCACATAGAGCTCCCCTATGACCCAGCAATCCCACTTTTGGGTATTTACCTGAATGATCACAAACAAGACCATATTAAAGCTACCAGCACAACTATGTTTATTGCAGCATTATTTACCATAGCTAAGATATGGAACCAACCCAGATGCCCCTCAGTAGATGAATGGATCAAGAAAATGTGGTATATATACACAATGGAATTCTATGCCTCCATCAGAAAGAATGATATTGACCCATTTGTTAGGAAATGTAAAGACTTGGAAAAAATTATATTAAGTGAAGTAAGCCAGGCCCAAAGAAACATAGGTCCCATGGTTTCCCTTATTTGCCATAACTAGTATATGTATGGGACATGTAGAAAAGGTCAGATAAGATGATGATAGATGAAATGAACCCCAAGATAAGGACACAAGGGTTTTTTCTTTCTTGCTATTGTTTTTAATGTATTTATAAGGTACCATGTGATGTTTTTGTTGCTTTATATGTCCCTCCCCCAGGGTATAACCCTTGTGTTCACTGTATTTGATGTGGTATAATTTGGGGAGGGGAAGGGAAAAAAACAAATTGTTTAAATAGGGATACAGATTGACCATTGCAACAATCAGATATACAAGATACTATGTCGAAAAAGGAACTTTACAATTTAGGAGGAGGGGTGGGGGGAGTTTGCGGATGTAGCTGAGGAGGTGGGATGGAAAGGAGGGTAGGGAAAAAAACAAAGGAGGAGGAAATAATGCTGGATAAGAAATGTACTCATTACCTTGCTCATGTAACTGTAACCCCTCTGTACAGTATTTTCACAATAAAATACAGACATTATATTTTGAATACAAGGGATATTACATTGTGGTTAAAAAAAGTCTCTTTTCCTGAGCTCAGAATGATCCAGAAAGATTTACTTGTCATTCAGACTTCACACCCTTTTCAAGGCTGCTTATTTGCTTCAACACTGAAACTTAGGATAATATTTGAAATTTTTCCCAAATAAAATGTTTTTATAAAGAAGATTACTGGGTATTGTAAGGTATTACTGAAGATATACATGGATATTTGCAAAAAAGAATGTTCAGTCTAAGCACTGAACACAGTAATCTATTTTAGAATTAAAGGTAATTTAGAATGAATAAAATATAAAATGATTATGAACATTAAGTAAAAAAATGTAAAACATTTTAAGCTCATTAACAATTATCTTTTATGGGCTTATCATAACCCCTTTAGATTCAATATGTGCTATACCTATTACAGTCTTTCAGAGGAATTAATTTTAAAAAAACTATAAAACATGAGGATTCCAGAGACATGCCTTTGAAAATGATCTAAAATATTACTATATTCCAACCTAATATTCAAAAGAGTTTAAAGTTATATTTTGTACTGCACTTGAACCTAAAATATTTAAGAAATATTGTGCTCTGAAAAAGTTTAGCACTATCCAAGTGAAATGATCATACTCTCAATTCATTTTGAGTCTATTGAAATCCTTGCATGTTTTTGAATGTACAAGATGGCCAGATAGTCTAAGAGTAAGAAATGCAACAGGAAGCACTAGCTACAATCCCTGAATTTAAAGCAGTATATTTTTAGTCATGAATAATAGTTTTACAGCAACGTTCCAGTGGCTATAATCTAGCTAGCTAACTCAGGAGGCTGAGATTTGAAGATTGCCCTTTGAAGCCAAGCTAGTTCAGGAAAGTCTTTGAGACTCTTACTTCTAATTAACCACCAATGGGGGAAAAAAGTCAAAAGTGGAGTTGTGGCTAAAGTAAAAGAGCTCTGGCCTTAAGCATAAAAGCTCAGGAACGTACTTCCGCCCTGAGTTCAAGCCCCAGGACTAGCATGCACTGACATGTGCACAGACACAAAAGTTTAAAGAACAAAATACAGGATATTAATATATGTAAAAATATTTTGCAATGGACACAGACACAATATTTCCCTTTGAAGAGAAAGAGACTAATTTTAGATGCATAAACATTTCAGAAAACACATATTGGAAGAAATCCTTATTTGGTGGTGGGAAGAATTGAAAAACTCACATACCGTGTTTTGATAGGTAGCATGTTTCTAGCCTTTGCTCATAAGAATATCCATAGAGTAGGTGGGCTTCTTCTAGTGCACTTTTATGCCACCTCTTTTTACTTATACATTTTCCTGGCTACATAAAATACAGAAAAAAATATTTACTTTTAAATAAATCATTTTCTTTTAATCCAGATGATTTAACTATTGAGCTGGAACTAATTGAAAGGTGCATAAAGGTACATAAATTGAAAGGTGCGTAAATTGAAAGTTGCATAAAGACAAGAGGTAATAAATATTTCACCTTTGTATCTTCCAGAGTTTGCATATGTCTAACACCTCATTGTATATTATTCAAGCATTCAGGAAGTGATTGTTAAGGTTTGGTTAATTGGTAATTATAGTCTTAAGCATTGGTTAATTAGTAATACAATTATGTAATAATATAGTTTTGCATATTGAATCTAAAATTTTCATTCATTAAATTACTCCTTAGGGAAAATAAAAAGATTAAAATATAAGTAGTTTAATTATCACAAAAATCTGCTATTTTTGACTATATAGCCTTTAGATTTGTGTGTGTGTGTGTGTGTGTGTGTGTGTGTGTGTGTGAGTACTGAATCTTAAACTCAAAGCCTATGCACTGTACCTTAGCTTTTTTCCTCAACGCCAGTGCTCTACCACTTAAGAAACTTGATTGGTGGTAAATTGGAGATAAGAATCCCACAGACTTTTTGCTGGCTTTTCACCATGATCTTCAGATCTCAGCCTCCTGAGTAACTAAAGATTTTGCATGTTTAAAACATCTCTTCAACTCTAATCATCCTAATGTTAAGAAGTTATCATGGAAAATCACCTAAAAGCTTGTATAGACTAAGGCTTGGTATGTATGTAATTCAGGAAGAGTGCTTGCCTACTATGTGTGATAATTTAGGTTCAATCCATAGCACTAAAGAAAAAGATGAACTGAAAAAAGCTTGTGTAATAGTTTCTGTACTGTTCCTTAGAAATATACAAGGAAATACTTTTGTTTTTTGTTAATTCTTGTGAAAAACTAATATGCCATGGGAGGGGAGGGGAGATCTTTAGTGGTCTAATAGAATTGAAAAGTTCTGTATAAAATAACTTGTTTGACTCTTTAAGTTATTGGTAGATCTGTGCCACCTAGTGGTAATATGAATGAACACTTTCTAAGGAAAGTCAATTTTACAAAGAATTTTTACTTTTATAATTTTATTTGTAAATGTTAAAAAATAAAGGGGTTGTAGTTATACAAGTACAGCAAATAACACATTTCATTTTGGATAATGTCATTTCTTCCTTTCAATTTTATAAAGAATTTTGATTTTCAGAATTAGACTTAACTCTGGATTGTATTTTACTTAAGGTTTTTAAATTCAAGAAGTAATATACTCAAATTCTAGCAATACATATGTACCCCCATAAAGTACAGAGGAATCAATTATTAATATCTCCTTTCTAGTGTTCAGAGATTATATACACTTTTACTGTTGACTGACTCAAATGTATCATAAATCTGACTCTCTGAAAACTGATTGTGTAAGAGAAGACTAGACTTTGGACAAAGTACGTAAAAGGACTTTTTTTAAATTTACTGAGATAGGTCAGGTTATCAAGAAAGTGAGATTTTTGACCTGGGGATATCACTCAAGAGAGCATTTGTTGATGGTGTGCAAGGGCCTAGGTTCCATCTCCAAAAAGAATAAGAGATTTGGAGAAAGATTGAGAATTGAGGTGTAGGCAGGAGCCAGAGCTCAAACCTATAATCTTAGCTACCCAGGAGGCTGAGATCTGGAGGATCAAGTTTGAAATCAGTCCAGGTAAAAAAGTCTGACAAACTCCATCTCCAATTATCAGCAAAAATGCCAGATTAGAATGGAGGCATTCATCAAATGGTAGAGTAACAGCATGAGTAAGAAAGTCAAGTGAGAATTCAAGATCCAAGGTTCAGTTATAATCAAATTTTCATATTTTAAAACCATAAATATTCTCTCTTTAAGAAATAGCTATACTGGAAACATCACTAAAGTGGTAAAGCACTAGTCATAAGCAATCAAGCTGACTGAGCATGAAGCCCTGAGTTCAATTCCTGATATATATACATGTGTGTATGTATATATATATATACACATATATATATACATATATATATAATTCAATTCCTTTGTTGATATTAGTCTTTTACTATTTTTTATTAATAGTCTTTTACTATTTTTTCAAGGCTAGGAATTGAACTCTGGGTGCTATCCCTGAGCTTTTTTGTTCAAAGGTAATGTTATACCACTTGAGACACAATTTCACTTCCGTCTTTCTGGTGGTTATAAGGAAATAATAATTTTAGAATTTTCATATTGGCTTATCTGGCATACTAAATACACAGGAAAGACTTTTCTTTCCAGGCTGGCTTTGAATTGCTATCCTCAAGTCTCTGCCTCCTACACAGTTAGGATTCAGGCTTAAGCCACCAGCACCCAGCTGAGTACTGAAATGGGGACATTTCATCTCACCATTGGTATAAACTTATGAATGTAAGTAATATGAAAACAAGTTAATTTTTGATAAATAAAAAAACAGGATATACTTGGGATCAGGATGAGGTTTGAAACTAAGTAGATGGCTAGACAAGAAAAGATAATGTCCTGCATGTGTGAAAATTCCTAGCTATGTTAAAAATGATAATTTGAAAACCATTGTCCTATGTGATCTTGTTTCCAGCAGGTGTTATTGGCCAAACCTTCATATATTTTCCTATTCCCCATAGTTTGAGGAGGAAGTTGAATATTCCTTCTCTGTAACTTCCGACTCTGATTTAGTTTTCTGACGTTGCTGCATACTAATAGGTGGCAAAATTGAGGAAAATACCATATTTATTTACCAGGAAGTTCAATGGAGACATTTCTTCAATCTGGCAACAATTCATGTTTGTTTCTTTGTATCATTTTTTTTCTATATATGAATCACTGTAGACATTAGATTAGCTGGGGTTGTAACAAGGTAAATCTTATTCATCAAACTGGACTGTGTTAGCACACCATTTTTAGCTACTTTTTTTCCCCCTATATCAAACTCAATGTGATATACTTTTCAAACTGGGATGTAGTTTATTTCAGTCTTTTAGGGGTACCTTAAGTTTACATAAATTGTAAAGCCATACATAGTTTTTACATGATCATGCATACCAGCATACCAACAGCTTCTTTACCATACTTGGGCAAGATAATCTTTTAAGAGGCTTAATATCTTAATGGTCTTTATTGTTCCCAAGTACCCCACTGTGCCATTCTTCTCCTAGGCACTGCCACTTGCCCATGGCAGATTTCTGTCATTCTACAGGAGGAGAAAAATGTATTCTCTGCCTTGCTGCTCTTGGTTCTCCTTCTAGCCTCTCTATTTGAAGTCCACCCTCCTTACCCTCCAGGAATTCAGATCAGGAAAACAAAAAAGACCTGTTTTTGACCATAACAACAGAAAATTGCCTTGCTCAGGAATACAAAATGCTCAGTTGCCTTTTGGAATAAAGTAGAAGGAAAATATAAACAAAATTTATAACCAACTAACCACTGCTATTTGGCTAGTGGTTAGTTATTAAGCCCTTGTCATGGAGCTTGAAAATTCAAATAGAAAGGTTACACCTTTGTTCAAGCTTGATTTTTCTCTATAGAACTCATAACTAATATGCAACATCGTTTCCTTATTTGTTTACTTGTCCTATTCTGCTAATTAAAGTCTCAAGAGCCCAATGAATTTTGTCTTTGTTCAAAAATTGGGCCTGGGTGATGTCCATTAGCTTTTTCTTCAAAGCTGGTGTTCCACCACTTAAGCCACAGTTCTGCTTCTTGCTTTTTGCTGGTTAATTGGAGATAAGAATCTCAGGGATTTGTATATCCACAGTCTTTGAATTGCAGTTCTCAGCTCTTGGCCTACTGAGTTGCTATGATTACAAGCATGAGACATTGAGACCCACTATATAGTAGTTTTTGAGATTCACTTCGAATCTATATTTTAACCAGACTGGCTAGAAGCTGATTAAAATATAGATTCCTAAAATACTCTCCAGTGAGTACTTTTGAAGCAGGATAGGCTAATGGAAAAAATGAAGCATGGTAAGCTTACAGCAAATACAGGAGAAAGTCATTTGCCTACTTCCCTTAAGATTAAGGAACCAAAGTCATTTATTATATAAAAAGGAGGCAGGATAAATTGAGGAAAATGAGGCCTAGTGAAGGCAACTCAGAAACATGGTATTTAGAATCCCAGAAGCACTATCTTTGCTTCAAAGAGAGACAACAGAATTCCTCCCTTCTTGAAGAATTCATTCTTACCATAAGAAGTAACATTTGTCTAGCAGGATGTATGCCTTCCTAAGAAAAATGCTCCCTCAAAATTTAAGTAACCTCCTACCCAAAATGCAGACAACAGGATGCCTTCTTTATCTCAAGGACAAGCATCTGTTCTATGGCAGGATGCATTCTTACCTGGAAAGAATGCCCCAAACATCCAGAAATTCAGAAAATGCAACAATAGGGGGGATTACAGCAAAGATAAAATACCTATTTTAGCTAAGTCAGATCCCATGCCTTTACCATAAAAATACCCCTAAGAGCCGAGGAACTGAGGTCTCTCCTTTAGAACACTCACACTCTGTGTCCCCGGTCTTTCTGTTTGCCTGTTTGTCTGTATGCCTGCTTGCCTGCTTGCTTACTCAATAAAGCTCTGCTAAGTTTTCTTACCATCATGACTTGTCCAGAAGTTCTTGTTCTGTGATCAAAGTCAAGGACCCTTTTGAAGGGAACCTTCACCTGCATCTGGTGACAGGTTCAGGAATGCCTGTTTTAAGGATATTTGTACCAGAACTTGATGACCAGCAAGTTGTGCAGCCAATAGTAAAGACAACACAACACAAGTATACCCACCTTGTAGTAATAATTATCACTACTGATAATGTTACAAAAGAATGAAATTCTACATTTTAATGATCCAAATCCATGGCAAGTAATCAGTGTATTAAAGGTGGTTTAGAAGCCTTTAACAGTTTAGTTCACCTTTGAAAAACCATAGGTAAAGATTAAGTTAATTAATCAAATTAGTTGAATTAAAAATAGTTCAATACTTCATTAAAAATTACACTAAAGAGCCATAGTAACTGGCACAGCAGGAACTGGTACAAAAACAGGCTAAATAAATAGAAAACTTGGGAATAAATATATATGGCTAACAGCCATATCTCATTCTCAGACAAAGTTATGGAAAATAAAATCGAAAAAACAATAGTACTGGGACAACTGGTTATCTACATGTAGATGACTGAAAGTAGATACCTATCTCTCAATCTGTAGACAAATAATCCCAAATTAGATCAAAGACTTTAATGTATGACCAAAATCTTTGAAATAATTAGAGAGTAAATAGTTCAATGTCTAATCTTGATAGACATTAGCTAATGACTTTCTGAATAATTATGTATCTAATAGTTAAGGAAAAAATAGAAAGAAGTGATAGCACTTTATCAAATGAAAATGATTTAGTGAAACAAAAGAAACAATTGATATGTACAAGACACTATGTAGAAAACGAACTTTTCAACTTGCGGAGGGAGGGGGAGTTGGGGAGGTGGGAAGGGAAGGGATGGTGGGGAAAAACAAAGGAAGAGGTAACAATGCTTCATAGGAAATGTACTCATTACCTTATTCATCTAACTAACAATAAAAATATATTAAAAAGAGATTATCAAGAAAATGAGATAGTAACTCTGTTCACAGTACAGAGTTAAGTGAATACATATTTTATTTATATAGGAACTTGATTATTATTTTTTAGCTTACTGATTTATCCAGTGCCTATTTTCACTAACTAATAAGCTCATTTGGTAGTAGTATTATATTTACACATCAGGAAGGTAAAGCACTGAATTTAAAACTTGCACAGATTTATACAGCTATTAAGATAGCCCTAAATTCATACATAGGCAACATAGCTCCAGAGATTTTGTGCTCAGTAACTACAAAATGATACCATTTCACTACAAGCAATTCTGTTGTACAATCTAGAAGATGGTGTTGAACAGCTCCTAGTCCATATCATAAAAATTAGATGGGGTTTAAAATGATTGGAACCTGTCATGAGGTACTTTTCATATAAAGTCAATTTTAAATTGCACATTAATTTTTTCTAGCACTATTAACTAGCAGCTTAAAAAATAAATAATCATTGAAATTTACAAGCATAATTAAATTTAAGTATAATTAAAATGGCAAATAATAGGCTTCATTTGTTTTATAAACAATTTAAAAACATAAAAATTAGTTGTATATAAAGCATTTTAAAAAATTTTATTTCAAGTTGTAGAGATTTTATTTTCCAAAAATGAATTGTCATAGAAGGAAAACAGTTGTAAATACTGCTATGTAAAATGACAGTGAATTACTCATAATATATTGATGAATAAAAAGGAAGGAAATGAGCACCAAGGCAAGAGATAATTTTTAAGGTCAGTACTTATTTGAAATGCTGCTATCTCCTGCTGCTCAGTCTGGCTGACTGTTTTATGAAGGATGTTAAGCACAGTTAGGGGAAATGTACAGAAAATGTACATGAAAACAGGCATGTGCTCATTTGCTTTTAATCTTTAAAAAGTCAAGTTTTGTCCAAAGTATTTAAAGCAACCATATTAGTGGCTATAAAGATATGAACCTAAAAGAAAATCTGCTTATTGGACTGCCATTTTCTAACCTGTGCTTGCTTACTTTTAATAGACAATGTATTCATAGGTAAACATTCATTGTATTTATATAGAGATAGATGCTCAGATTCTATATTTAATGATAGAATCATATGAGCAAGTAGGAGACTTGGGTGGAAAAAGATGGTTTAATATGTGATACAGAAGCAGCACTTATTCTGTAGGTCAAACAGAAAGGTAAAGAGGTCATATTTCTGAAAATTATTTAAACATTAATCAGAATTGTTTGACACTTAGGAAATGAAGTTTTTGCTGAGTTCATATATTTGTCCAATATTTCCTAAAAATATTCAAAAATAATAGAGAAGGAACAAAAAAAGAGTGAAAAACATATCCACATATAGATTTCTCAGTTACATGAGTTTTGCAGCTCACCATTCCTTGATGAAGAATACATCTAGTAGTTACTTTGTTGCATATACTACTAACTTAAGAATTCCAGCGTGGCACTGATGGCTCATGCCTCTAATCCTAGCTATTCAAGAGACTGAGATGTAAGGATCACAGGTCAAAGCCAACCTGGGCAGGAAAGTCATGAAATTCTATTTCCAAATAAGTATCCAGAATGCTGGAAATTGAGTGGCGGTGCAAATGGTAAAGTGCTAGCCTTGAGCAAAAAAAAAAAAAAAAAACAAAAAAACTCAGGGACAGCACCTAGGCCCTGAGTACCAGCCCCAGTACTAGCCCCCCAAAAAAGAGAAAAAAAACTCATTGTAAGGCATCTTTACTTCATTCATAAAGGGTATGATTCTGAGGTCAAATTAATGAGTCTTGATTATTGGCTTATAAACAATGATAGGAATGATTTTTCAAAGAGAAAGTAAGCATACTTGTAAGAAACTGAGAAAACTTCGTGTTGAAATTTCTTAGAAAAACATTGCCATTCCACAAATGAGAAATGTAGTTGATACTTACTACATTGTTCTTGTATTTGATACTGGAAAGTTAGCCACCTGTTCCATTCTTGAAATAATATAAGAAGATTTAGTCACCTATTGACAATGACAATTATATATGCCTATTATTCTTCCTTTTGTTATTAGAAAAAGTGACTTACACAACTTGTGCAAATTAAATACTTCCTCTAGAAGAAATGATATTTACATTTTTGACTACATATTGCTCTCTAAGAGATATGAAAATTATTTTTAGTTTGAAATTGTTTTTACCCTAGAAAGATGGAAAGAGCAGGGAAGAAACAATATTCTGTGGTTGTCAGAAGACATGCTTAGAAACACACCCAAACATAAAAACATAGAAAGAACCTCAGATTGAGGTCACTGACCAAACTAATTTGAAGTAGATGTGTGTGTAGGTATTCTCTATTTGTACAGTTTTACTAAATAGAATTTCCTTCTAGCTAATTTTGGACTCAATTGTACAAAAATGCTATGAATGTCAAGGAAAAAGTAAAACCATTTTAGTGTCTCAAATTCTTACATGGACTGAATTTCACACTTTAATTACGTATACCCCAAGAAAAAGATCTGAATATATATACTTTTCACCATAATATAGAAAAATACAGTTAAAAGTTTCCACATTTATGCATCTATTTTTCCTAGGTTTTAAATGAAAGTAAGAAAAGTTTGAATATTAGAATGTAAACACAGGTAACTGAACTGATTTTTATTAAGTATAACAAATCTTAGGAAAAAGTCCAATTTACTTATTTTGGTCAGCCTCAAAATCCAATCTATTCATTAATTGTAATATGTAATTCAAAATAAAAGGAGTATAAAATGTTTGCTTTTTAAAAATCACCAAAAATATTAAATGTCTAAAAATCAATTACATAAAAATTTCATTTGGAAAATTTAAAATTCCTACAGGTGATGTATTCACTAGCCCAGACTTCAATACATTAATGAGGATGAGGACTACTTTCAAGAGCAGTTGCACTTCCCATTAGCAGGGAAGATCCAGACTTATATGCACCTGCCACAAGGTTTTGCTGGTGCCTTGGATTTTGGTCCTAACATACTTATAAAATTGTTACATTAAATTATTTCTGATAAATATTAAGTCCTTTCAATACTGAATTGTTTCTGACAGGTATGTATCTATATCTATATCTATCTATCTATCTATATTCCTTAGATACTTTACATTGAAAATTGTTTATTCTTCCTTGAATTGCATAAAGTCATACCATACAAGTAGCACATCAAAAAGAAGACAAAAATTATAAAATAAAATTCCATAGGTAATTTTATATCCATAAGTTCTTTAAAACAAAAATGTTTGAATTTAACAAGTGGTAATTATTATTTTGTGTATATAAGTTAAATTTAAGTGATTATATACCTTTTAGGAACTGAAATGAAATAGTCACTAGTAAAAACAAATGCAAAACTTATAAACGTTTGATGTAACCATACCAACCTTTGATGCGATACTATAATGTTCAACAAATCTTGCATTTATCCATGATTTTGAATGGGGATCTCCCAGGAATTCAATGTGATATTGTTCAACGTTTCCATCCAAGTCATAGTTTACATAATTTTCTTGAAGAGGATCAGGGCAAAGTACCCCTGGCCAACTTTAAAATATACAGTTTTATTTATTTTAATGCTTCAAAAAGGCAAATATCAATACATATGGCAAAATTACTTATTAATCTTTTATCCTCTGAATTTTAATGACTATTTCACAAAATATTAAATTTGTTTAATTACATCTTTAACCAATATGGTATTCATTTGATACAAGAAATAAATTGTACCATTGTAACTATAAAAAATTTTGAAAAAGAGACAAATTTAAGGCATAGATAAAATATGAAGACTGTGAAATGAAAAAGTTCCAGAATCAGTGATACTTAAGCACTGACAAGAGGAAAAATAAGACTATCATATAAAGGTTTATCAAAGATTTGAATACAGGATGCGAGGGAAACTATGGTCAACATACTTTATGTACAAACATGAAAATGCAGCAGGGAAGCTTGCTAGACTAGTTTGGAAAGTAGGACGGTAGAGAGGAAAGTATTGACCAAGGAAGTGACTATGATCAAGATTTATATGTTAAAATGAAACCTCCTTATATACCTTATGTATGCTAATAAAAAGGATTATCTAATTTTAGAAACACAAGTGTTTAATTTCCAAGATGTTAATTAATTTTCATGGCTTCTACCAAATTAGAGAAAGCTGATATTCTCTGAGTATGGACTGACACAATACACTTACAGTTTAAACTATTGTAACACTTTGGCATAAAAGTATAAAAGAAAAAGTGAATGTTAAGCTCCACAGTTATATATTATCCTTTTTACCTCTTGTTCCATAGGCAAGAATCAATTTGCTTAAAATATTCAGCTCTAGCTCTAAAATGTATCCTTTATTTTCTAAAAAATAGCTGTTTTTAAAAGGTTTTTCCTGCGTCTATTGAGGTGATCATATAAATTTTGTCTTTGATTCTGTTTACATGTTATTTTACATATATAGACTTGGGCATATTGAGCCATCCTCACATCTCTATAAAGAAAGATCATGGTGTATGACCTTTTTAATGTGTTGTTGAATTGTTTGCAAGTATTTTATTAAGAATTGTTGGGATTCGGGCTGGGATGAAGCTCAGTGGCAAAGCGCTTGCCTAGCAAATGCAATGTCCTGGGTTCGATCCCCAGTACCAAAAAAGAAAAGACAAAAAAAAAAGAATTGTTGGGATTGGATGCATGGCTCAGTTATAAAGCACTACACAATGCACAAAAGCATCAAGTACTGAGTTTGAGTCTCAGAACAACAGAAAAAGGAATTGTTGTGTCTATATTCATTTAAAAACTGGTTTATAATTTACTTTTAGGATTGCATCCTTGTCTGGGTTTTGGCATTATAGTAAGACTGGCTTCATAGAATAAATTTTATGAAGTTCCTTCTTTTTTTATTTAAAAACTATTAAGACATTAGAAATAGAAGGAATGTACCTCAATACAAAACAGGATGTATATAACAAACCTATGGCTAACATTGTACTAACTGGAAAAAAAAAAAAACTACAGCATTTTATCTGAAGTTGGAATGAGATAAGGTAACCTAACCTTATTCAATTGAGTATGGGAATTCCAAGTCAGAACAATAAGCAAATGGAAAAAGATGTTCAAGTCGTAAAGGAAGAAATCAAATTATTCCAATTTAAAAATGGTACAATCTTATATTTAAAATACCTAAAGACTTCACCAAGACATACCTATATCTGGTCAACACTTTAGGCAGCATATAAAGATATAAAATAAATATAAAAATGTGTATATACCAACAATGAATAGATTGATAAAGAAATCAGACAAACAGCTCTACTTATAATCTCAAAAACAAAACAAAACAAAACAACCCAACCATGGGAAAGACCTCTACAGTGAAACTTACAAAAACTTGAAGAAAATAATTGAAGATACTAAACGATATTTAAAAAAAAACCTCCCAGCCAGGTACTTGTATAATCCTAGCTACAGGTACACAGCTGTAGTCCTAGCTACTCATGAGGCTGAGATCTGAGGATCATGGTTCAAAGCCAGTCCGGACAAGGAAAGTCCGTGAGACTCCTATCTCCAATAAACCACTAGAAAACTGGAAGTGGCACTGTGGCTCAAGCGATAGAGTGCTTACCTTGAGCTGAAGAGTTGAGGGATAGCGCCCAAGCCCAGAGTTCAAGCCCCACGACCGACCAAAAAAAAAAAAAAAAACACTCCCATGTTCACAGATTAGCAGAATACTGTGAAAATGGCTATAGCATTAAAAGCAATCTATATTCAATATAATTCTCATCAAAATGCAAATGTCATTCTTCACATAAAAGAAAAATCAGTCCTAAAATTCATATTGAAGCATAAAAATTCTTGAATAAAAAATTATATCTTGAACAAAAAGGCTAACATTGATGGTATCACACTACTAGACATCAAATTAAATTTCAGAGCTAACAAAAATAGAGTAACAAAAACAGCTTGGCCTTGGCTTAAAAACAGACAAGGTTACCAATAGAACAAGAGCTCCCTCCCACAAACAACACAAACAATAATGATTTGGCCTTTGACAAAGGAACCAAAAAGTATGTTAAAGAAAAGACAGCTTCTTTAACAAATGGTATTGAGAAAACCATACCAACATTCAAATCTTCAACAAATGGTACTAAGAAAACCATACCAACATTTTTTTTTAAAAAAAAAAAGAAACTAGACACTTTTAGCCTAAAGAAAAATCAACTCAAAATGGATTGAAGACCTTAAATGTAAGACCTAAAATCCTGACACTACATCAGAAGAACATAGGGAAAACACTGAAAGATATAGTATATGCAATTATTTTCTGAATAGTATTTTACCTACCAAATAAAAGCAAGGATTGAAAAATATGATTTTATTAAATTTAAAAGCCTCAAAGGAAACAATTACCAGAATCAAGATATATCCCACAGAATAGAAGAAAATCTTTTGACATATTCAAAATTTCAAACAAAATGACACAGAGGCGCTCTCTTACACAAGGCAAATGGAAATCAGCAAGGAAAAATAAATAGATTCTGGCAAAGATGTGGGACAAAGTGTGTGTGTGTGTGTGTGTGTGTGTGTGTGTGTGTGTGTGTCTGTCTGTCTGTCTGTCTGTCTGTCTGTCATGGAACTTGAACTCAGGGTGGGTTTCTGTCCCTGAGATTCTTTTTTCTCAAGACTAACACTCTACCACTTGAGCCATAGCACTGCTTCTGGCTTTTTCTGAGTAGTTTATTGGGTATAATAGGTTCCCAGGCTGGTTTTGAACCCCTATCCTTAGATCTCAGCCTCCTGAGTAGCTAGGAATATAGGTGTGAAACACCAGTGCCTAGTGCAAAGGAAACTTACACATTTCTGGTGGGAAAGTAAACTACTACTACCACAACCACTGTGGGAATCAGAAGTTTTATCAAAAAAACTAAAAGGAGACCTGTGTTATGATCCTTCTATATTGATCTTGGATATATATCCAAAGGAGCGTAAATCAACATAAACAATACCTGCACATCCATGTTTACCACAGCATTATATATGCACAAATGCCAAGCTAGGAAATTAACTAGAACCGATATAAAATAAAAACATAAATAAAATGTTTTATCTACACCATGAAGTCATGTGGTGTAATGAATTATGTAATTTTCAGGAAAATGAATGGGGCTAGTAATTATCATGTTAAGCAAAATAAGCTAGATTTAAAAAGTTAAGTATTATTGCACATTTTCTTTTATGTAGAATCCTCACTGTTCAGGTGGCTGAGATCAGAGGATCTTCTTCAAAGCTAGGTGGGGAAACAAAGTCCATGAGACTCTGATCTCTAATAAACTACCCAAAAGCCTGAAGTAGAGATGTGGCTCAAATGGTAGAATACTAACCTTGAACACAAAAGCTCAAGGATAGCACTCAGGCCCTGAGTTCAAGCTGCAGACCAGCACCAATAAAAAAGGGAGGGGGGATGGTACGATAAGAAATGAATAGGGGGGGGGGAAGGATGGGATGGGAAGGCGAAACAAAGGAGGAGGCTACAATGCTGATAAGAAATGTACTCATTATCTTGCCCATGTAATTGTAACCCCTCTGTACAGTATTTTCACAATTAAAAAAAAAAGAAAAAAGAGGAAAAAAGAAATGAATATGATCAAAGTACATTATATGCAAGTATGAAAATTTCATCATGAATCCAATTAGTTTACATGATTATAATATACTATAAAAAAGAAACTTTTTTTAAAAAAAGAGCAAAATGATGATAAAGCAGGAACAGTAAAATTGGGGCTGTAATACAAAAGGTACAATTTATTAAGAAAAAGTAATTTAGAATTTACTTAAATAAAAAACAAGTGCTCCCCCAAAAATATTGTCACTGTGACTCTCCTTTCCTTCCCTTCCCCGGACCAACTCAATCTCAACAGAATTCAATGATCCACTGGACACATGTACACAAAGTATTTCCACTATTTTCACCATCACTATTCACTTTTTTCCATTCCAATAGAACTTCCTTTCCTAATTCCCCTCAACAGTCCCACAGTTGCAATTTTTTATGTGTGTACCTGTATGCGTGTATATAATTCTCTATGTGTTTACAAGTATGCTTATTGTATAGATTCCACATACACATCTGGGAGAAAAAAAATCCTTCTGAACCATCATTTGATTAACATTATGATTTCTAGTGACCACAGTGAATTTATTTATTATAGTGAAAATATTTTGAAAGGTTCTATTTATAGTCTTCTATATATGAAAAATGTACCAGAAAAATCTATTTATATCAATTAATGTACCTCTATTGAATCAACCTGCATACCTAGAGTCAAACTATCTTGATATGATATATCATTTTGAGATTTCTTTTAGAATTTTTTCTACAATAGGGAGGATGACCTATTATTGGTGAATGTGGGGCACAAAAAGGAGGGGTAAAAATGCTCGATAAAAATGTACTCATTACCTTATTCATGTAACTGTACATGTAAGTCTGTACAACATCTTTACAATAAAATGAAATTTTAAAAAAGTCTCCACTACTATTGTGCTGGGATCTGTACTTTTAAGTGCAGTAGTATTTGTTTAATGAAGGTAGATGCAGCAATATTTGGCACATAGATGTTAGCCATCGTATTTCCTCTTGATGGATTGTTCTCTTTTTTCTGTCCCTTCTGACTGATTTTATTTGAAGTTTACTTTTCAGATATGAAGCTGCCTGCCTTTTGAGTTTGTTCAGTCGCTAATGTTTGTTTTTATCAGTAAGAATTTTTTTTTTTGTCGGTCATAGGTGCTGAACTCTGGGCCTGGGAGCTGTCCCTCAGCAATTCAGCTCAAGGCTAGTGCCCTACCTCTTCAGTGACAGTGCCTCTTCTGGCTTTTTTCTGCTTATGTGGTGCTGAGGAGTTGAACCCAGGGCCTCATGCACGTGAGGCAAGCACTCTACCATTTAGCCAATTTCCCAGCCAAGAAAAATTTTTATAGGTAACAAATGATCAGATTTTGCTTCTTAATCATTCTTCCATTCTTTGACTTTTTTACTGAGAACTGAGACTATAGGCATTCAAAATGTTTTTGATTTTTCTCATGAAGATTTTTTTCATAGAAATATAAGTTCATAATGTACTGCAGATAAAAGCACAGGTCATTAATAAATTTTACAGTGGAAAAATATTGGGGAGTAATATTTTCTATATAAAATAAGTAGTAATTACCTACGTATAACTATCTCTATGAACTCTATATGCTTTATATAAAAGCAATCAGTGGTAACTGACTGTCAAAGAGGGAATCAGGAGGAATACCTTGAGTTCTCTTTCCTCCCTTCTTACACTAATTTAGCTGGGGTTTCCCACAACCCAGTAGAAAACCAAAAGGAATGAAACCTTGCTACTGATCAGCCTCTGAGGGCACAGAAAAAGCTGGAGAAAGGCAGCAAATGAGAATGGCCAACACAAATTTGCAACGTGCTTCCTGATCATCAATAATCTTTCACAGTAACCCATTTACCTCTCATACCTTGAAAGGAAAACTGAAGAAATAGGAAGTTCAAGATTTTCAGAGCTTCTCAATAACATTGCCAATTTTAAACATAACAGAGCCAAAACTTAAGCTACTTCAAATTCTATACATAGAATTTGTGCAGTGTACTTGAAGAAACTTGAATGTAAGAAAATGTAAATAAATATATTTGAGAGATGCTTTGGAAAAAATGTTTATCTTCCCTATATAGGATTCCTTTAGGTATCTTGTGTATCTTCTGGTTTTATGACAATAAATTGCTTCAGGTGTTTATTATGGAAATTTTCATTTGTCTTTCAGTTATGAATGGTAGCTTTGCTGAATAGAATAATCTACACTGGCACTCATTTACTTTCAGTGTTTGAAATATATGATTCCATGTCTCTTTGTTTTTAAATTTTTTATTAAGAAATCTGTTGGTAGAGTGATGTGTTTGCCTTTATATGTAATTGGGTGCTAATGTCCTTGAGCTTTCACTCTTCCCTTTCTGTATACTCAACATTTTACTTATAATTTGTCTTGGGGTTTTAGTTTCCTAATCTGATCTTATGTGTACCTTTACATCTTGTGTACCTCAATATCTATTTTTTCCAAAACATTGGAAATTTTCTCCTGTGTTTTAAAACTGAAAATGATTTATATCCCTTTAGTTTGTACCTCTTCTTGCTTTATGCCTATAATTTGGGAGTGTCATCTTTTAATTGTGTCTCAGAGGACCTGAGTAATCCTTTCTTTCTTAAAAAAAAGTTTTTACTGCCATTCTTCATCTGACTGTTCTAATACATTCTTATTCTGAATCTCTTGTATTCCGATAATTAACATCCACAGAGACTTTCCACATTTTTTTAAAGATTATAAAACTGGCTTATTGCAAAAGAAACTCAAGAATAACCAGTTAAGTTCTTATCCCCATGCTACCCAATACAAGCAAGAGGTGTTAATCAATTTCACATCAGGAACCAGGACACACAAGAAAGTATACATCCAGGCTGTAATTGGGAGAGAGAAAGAACCTTCACACCTCCACATAGGTACAGAAAACAGGATAAGGGCACAGCCCGGTCGGATACTGGTGGTGTGAAACATGGGTATAACCAGGCAAATGCAGTATGGGAGAGGAAGACTGCAGATTCTTGCATTGTATTGGAAAGATGGAAATTTTAGGAACAACTGTCTTTAGTGACAGCAAGATTCAATGTTCATCATGTTTTATCCTTGTCCTATGAACTCTCCAAAGCCCACTCCCTCCTCGACACCTTCCACTGTCAGCTAAAGCAACTCTGATGATAGATAAGATGTACTTTTTTAAAAATTTGACTTGTTGAGCTTTGCATTCCCAGAATTGCAATTTGAGCAATTTTTAGAATATCTGTGTCTTTGAGGTTCTCTTTCATATCTTGCATTTCTTCCTTATTCATTTGTTTATTTGTATTCTCTTTGAATTCTGTTAGCTATTTATACTCTTTGAATTCATTCATCACTTTATTGGTCATTCTAATATTCTTTTGAGTTCATTGGTCTTTCCCCCTCTTCACTATCCTTTGTATCCATAGCTAATGTTAACTCTTGTAGATTTTGTAAGATGAGAGCTTATATGCCCAGAGGCCACTTCAAGCAGCTAAAACTCCCTAATAATCCTAAAATCTCCTATAATCTGAATCTTTTCTTATGAATAATTTTCTTAAGATAGCTCTCAGACAACAGGACGGCTCTCATTGGCCAAGTGTTTTGAGCCATTTTCTGCATGCCTTTACCTAAGCATGCTCTCAGCTTGCCCAAGTTAGAATGTGTCCAGATTTATGTTTGACTCTCAGTTGTTCTTTGTTTTAAATACAGCTCCCCAGGTAAAGCTCGTATTAGAATTTACCTGGCTGTAAGCTACTTACAAGAAGTTATGACAACCTGATCACTCTGGTTTTACCTATAACCTGAGTACTCTACTGGTGGAAGCTAGGTGCTTTTCTGGATGTGATCTACAAACAGTGAAAATGCTGTTACTCATACTGGAACAGGAGGTCCTGTCAAGATGGCACCTCCCTACTACTTTGTGACATATGTGAGTGAATATTTCTCTTGTCTAATGCTCACCTGTCATTCTTGGGAAGTCACTGACCAAAAAAATCTCTGCATTGAGGTTTGAGGTTTGTAAAGTGTATGGATTTATTCCAGAGCTGAATCTGCCACTGGCATAGAGGATGCCAAGTCTACATTGTAGTAAAGGCTTCATCCTCTTCTGCCTCTCACTGGAGAAGGTGGGACTAGAGCTGCAAATTGTTTCTTAATTTCCATTGTTTTCACTGCCTTTTGTTTTGCCACACTTTTCAGTTGTTCTATTTCTCTCCTGTGGTTCTCAGTACAGTTCCTCACTTAAAAAATTATAACTTAATTTTCTAATATTTTTCTTATTTTTTCTCATTTACAAAGTCTAACTGAAAAATCTTCTATTTTGTCATCTCTTATTCACTATATCCCCTGGGCTTTCTTTTTGCCTTATATATTCTCAAATTGAGAATTAAAGAACATAAAAGCCCAGAAATATCAGTGGTTGAAAATAAGCCCCCAAACAGAAAAGAGTGATTAAAAATAATCTTTTATGCCAAGAAATCATTAGAAGAGCAGTTCAGTAAGATAAAAAAAATTCACATGCTAACTTCTGTACTCCAGATACACATCAGGAAAAAAAATCTATGGCTCCACCAGCAAAGACTATTGATGATACTGGATTTCAAGTCATTCAGCAGTACTGAAGCATTTTGTCTGCCTCCACCCCTGTCTCCAATTTGGCAAAGAAGTCCAAACAGGAGGATCCCCTTCCTCACCATGGTATCAGTGCAGATTACCTGAGAGTAGTAATTGGGTATCTTGAAGCTTCCATCCATGTTTGTAAGGAGTCTGAATTCTCACCTATGTTTTTCTGTAAAAAGGCCCTCCTCTATGGGACTCAACAAAGGTTGAACAAAGCTGGACTTCCATTCCCACCTAGCCTTAATAAAGAGAGTTTTTAATCCCTCTGATGTAGTAGTAAAAGCAGAGTACTAAACTGATTTAAATAATATCCAAAATGAACACAAAGTATGGAAAATAAGTAGAAGATATGGATGAATATTTTATAACTAAAAATACAATAAAAAGCTTATGAAGTAATTTCAATGATAGAATAAATATGGCAGAGGAAAGCATAAGTGAAGTTAAGGTACAACAACCTGAATGATCTATATGAATAGCAAAGAGAAATGGACTGAAAAAAAGTCTAACTTTCTCTTCCTTTCTCAAAGAATGGTAAGATTTTAATGTAAAAGTACATAGGAAGACAAGACCACAGAAAAATCTGATATAAATTATGGTAAAAATGATTAATAGTCCTTGCAAAAATATGAAAGTTTACCACAGACACAAAGTTTTAAAAGAAATAAAAACTGGCCCTTAGATCTCAAGTTGAGATAAGAGAAATAGAAATGATAGTCAACGTGATGAAAAAAGTAATATAAATTAGAGGTATAAAAAATTAATAATAAGTGATTAGAAATAAAGATTTGAAAGTGAAATTATAAACAAATAAATTCATCCTTAAAAATATTCTGAGAATGCATAAAACTAGTAAGACTACACCTCAATAGTTTAACACAAAATAACACAAACCTTACCTTGGCCAGTTCTGTAATTTTACCAAAACCAGGCTGCCCAGAGGGAGCTGTGAATAGACAATTTTATATCCATTTTTATGAAGTTCAGACTCTTCAGGAAAGTCTTCTTCAGAAATTGAGCACTTATTGTATCTTGAATCATTGTTCATGTAGCAGTACCATGGTTCATTTTGATTAACTTTGATTGCATCCTCATTTGACAACAATCTCCACTTCAAACAACTTTCATTCTCACATTGAACCCATATTTTGTTTATAAACATATTATTTGCCCCTGGGGACTCCATTTCACAGTTACAATATATTCATGTATTTGTTGTCCAATTTTTAATAATTTCATTTAATCTGAAAAACAGGAAAAGCTATATTAAGAATTAAGTAGTATAAAATTCAAACTAAAATCAGAGAAATACTGCCTCTTCTATATCTTGTAAAGGGTATATAGGAGAACCACATTATCTTTTTACTTACCCAGAAACAAAGGAACAAAATAGAAATAACACTTGAGTTTTAAAAATGGTCCCAAATTCAAATTAAGAAAAAAAATAGTATGATAGAAATAGTGGTGGGCTAATTTTTATTACCCTATTACACAGAACATATCTCATAGCTATCCAATACTTTCTTAAGATAGGCTCTTACTATACAACCAAGTCCAGCCTCAATTTCTCCATTGTTTTACCTCATCTTCCTTAATGCTAAGATTACTATCACACCCAAAGTCACTAGGTATTATTTGATAGTCTTACACATAATGTGTTTTAACACAGAAAGTTTAAGCTGATAAAAGTTTAAGTGCAAGGGATAGTACAAGGCAGACCTGAAATGTAAATGTATGTAGCTCAGTTCTAAACTGTGCAATATTATCCACTAGACTATACTGTTCCTGGAGTACATATAAGGAAGTTGTTGATCCTTTTCTCTTCCAAAATGTCAGGAAAATTTAGTAAAATATTTCACATAAAAATTTAAGCATAATCCAAAAAATAATCTTGTTTATGCAGTTTTTAAAAAATATAATTTATTGTTATTAAGGTATTGTACAGAGGGGTTACCATTTCACAATTCAGTCAATGCATACATTTCTTCTTTGGACAATGTCATTCCTTCCTTCTGTTTCCCCTAGTTTTCCCCTCCCATTTCTGCCTACAAGACACATAGCAACATATATGTTTCTATGTGAATACTCTAATTGCATTTTCACATTTCCTCCCTCCCTTACTGCAAAATCCTTTTTGTATCCTCTAAGAAGCAGAACCCACTTTTTGTCATGAAAATTAATTTATGTAAACAGAGTTATGGGTATCAGTTTCCCATATTTAAAATCAAGAATAATTTCTATGTATACTAAGAAATTAATGTGACTAAAAATACAAGTAAAACTAACAATATCTGTAATGTCCATGCTGGTATTGCTAAATTATTAATGGTGAAATTTTACATAACAAACAAAACAGATACATGCACTGTGACAGATATGACAAAGTTACTACAAAGAAACATTTATTGTTTTACATGTCTACCAACAACATATTGTTTAAGTACATATTTACAGTAAGTCTTTATCATGGTAAATAATTAGCTTTTTCATATTCTATACATGTAAATATAATTTTCATTGGTGTATATTAACTGTACAGATGGGATGGACTCTAATATTTCCATAAATTCATACATTAAACTTTGATCAAATTACTCCTCTATAACTCTTTCTTGTATCCTCTTCCCATCTTTTCAAAAAATGTTATAACAAGAGCTATAATTCTATTTTCAACACATTTTATGAAATACTACATTCATATTCACCCCTTTTGATATTCTCTTTTCATGTCCTCTCCCTTTTGAGATCTTCTTTCACCCACTCTCCACTGGTATCAACTCTAAGTAGTCCCTCCTATTTTCCAATCATGTCCTTTGTTTAATTAGATCTAGATTATTTTTCTCAGTCTAGCTTATTTCATCGACAATGATGATTCACAGTTTCATCCATTTCCCTGAAAATGACATAATTTCATTCCTTTTTTCTTTTTGCCAGTTTTGGCGCTTAAACTTAGGGCCTGAGCACTGTCCCTGAGCTTCTTTTGTTCAAGGCTAACATTCTACCATGTGCGCCACAGCACAACCTCTTGGCTTTTTCTGTGTATGTGGTACTGAGGAATCAAATCCAGAGCTTCTCGCATTGCAGGCAAGCACTCTACCACTAAGCCACATTCCCATTCCAATTTCATTCCTTTTTTAAAAATTTAAAAAACTTTTTTAAAAAGTTAGTTGTGGGGCTTAAACATGGGGCCTGGATGCTGTTCTTGAGCTCTTTTGCTCAATGCTAGTGCTCTATCACTTTAAGCAATAGTACCATTTCCAGTTTTTTGAGTGGTTAATTGGAAATAAGATTTTCAGGGGGACTTTTTGGCCCCAGCTGGCTTTGAACCACAATCCTCAGATGTCAAACTCCTGGGTAGCAAGGATTACAGACGTGAGCCACTGGCACCTTCTTTTTGCCTGAATAATATTTCATTGTGTATATATAACACATTTTCTTCATCTATTCACTGGCTGATAGACAGATTAATTCCACAGTTTGTCTCTTGTGAATAATGCTGCTATAAAAGAATGGCTATGAAGGCATCCCTATTATATGCTGCGTTAATATTCCTTTGAATCTATGTCCAGGAGTAGTATGGCAAGACCACACTGTAGGTCTAGTTATAGAATTTTGAGGGGAACTCTAAGCTATTTCCATAGTGGCTACACTATTTTAAATCCTCACAATAATTTATGAGGGTTTCTCTTTTATTATTTTTTATTTTTAAAATACCGTTTTTATTGTAAAAATACTGTACAGAGGGGTTATAGTTACATGAGCAAGGTCATGAGTATATTTCCTATCAAGCATTGTTGCCTCCTCCTTTGTTTTTCCCCTACCCTCCCTTCCCTCCTACCTCCACAACTACACTCCTCTTCCCCACTCCCCCCACCACCCTCCACCCCCTCTTCATCTAAATTGTAAAGATCGTTTTTCAATATAGTGTGTTGTACATCTCATTGTTACAATGGGTCAACCTGTATCCCTATTTAAACATTTTGTTTTTTCACCTCCCAAGTGTATATACAAGATGCAGGGCACTGACATCAAATACAGGGGTTATACCATGGGGGAGGAACATACGAAGAAACAAAAAAATCACATGGTACATTATAAATACGTTAGGAATAATAGCAAAAAAGAAAAAACCACTTGTGTCCCTATCTTGGGGTTCCTTTAATTATGAATCTTCATCAATGTTAGATGTTGTTTGTTTTGTTGATGATTGGTATTCTGACTGGGGCAAATGGAATTACAGGAGTTTGAATTTGCATTTCCTTCATGGTTAAAAATGTTAAACCTTTATCCATATATTTATTGGTCTTCTTTTGAGAGGTGCAATGTTAGATAATTTATTTGGTCTCTCTGATTTTTTTTAATGAAGTCAGTCTTTGCTGGAACTTCTCTTTTAGAACTGCTTTTCATATATCTCACAGATTTGGATAGGTGGCACTTTAATTTGTTCTCAGAAGGATTTAAATTTCCCCTAATTGTTCTGTGATCTATTCATACTTTAAAGCAGTGTCTACCTTTTATGAGATTATATATTTTCTGTAGTTTACCTTATTATTGATTCTAGTTTTATTCCATTTCGACCTGATGAGACAAGAAAAACATGATATTTAATTTTTGTATTTACAATTTCCTTATGACATAGAATGTGATTACTTTTGGAGGATATCCAGTGAGATGTTAAAAAGAATGTGCATTTTTTACTTGTCAAAGGAAGTATAACTAAAGTATTCTTAAATATCTATCACATCTACTTGATCTATGGCAAAACAACTCTGAAATGTCTAACTTTTGTGCATAGGAGAGGTGGATGATATATCTGTTGATGAGAATAAAGAACTAAAATCCACATGGTTATATTTTTTTCTAGTAAGGAATGTGGAAGAATACTCCACTTTATCAGAATCCAGACAGAGAAATCCAGCCCCTAGGAAGTTCTTGGTAGGACCTTTTCCAATTCATTCTACCTGCCCTGGTCCAGAAACATAATCAATTATGATAGCATCCAGATTGTACCTTGATAATCCAGAGCCGAGAAGTAATACAGAACTATAGAATTACAGAAGTCTATATTCATAAGAGATCTCCCCACATACACTCATTCAGGGAGATATTTAAGGCAATATCAAAACTGACTATCTTCAGAGAAGCAAAGATAGGAGAACATAAAACAAGTAGACAATGAACAGCTAGCTATTCACATCTATTTTCAGAGAGATAGATTGATTTTTCTTTGTTTTGATTTGCTCATTTTTGGCTAATGAGTTCTATGTGGTTTTATTTCTGCTAATTTATTTATTACTTTTCATTTCTCTTTTGATTCTACTTCCAAAACATTCTGTATTTCCCAGCAACAATATTCCAGTTCTTTCTCACACTATTATTTCTTATGCTTTTTACATCACTTCCAGGTGTTTCCTTTTTCACATCATCCATTACATTGCCTAATATTTTAAATTAATTCTAACCCTTAAGCTCAAAGTTTATCATGTAAAAATAAAAATCTATTCTTTAACAATCATATTGGGAAAGAAGCAGTGCTTGAGGTATCAACTTGTTTCTTAATTCATTTAAATACTTGAGTTTTGCTTAATTTTAGACCTCATTGCTACAGTTAGTCAGCAATCTCTCATGTAAGCAGAATTAAAAGAGAAATTCATTCTGAATGATGCAGGAATGATAACACAGAAATGTATCGAAACAGGGAAATAGCATGCATCTAACACCTCACAACAATCAATAAACAAATCCAGAGACAATGATGTGCCTGAAATATCAGATAAAGAATTCAAAAGCCTACTTCTTAAAAAATAAAACATCAAAGACAATTTAAATAAGATCAAAGTCAATTCAAATAAACAGATAAAGTTTTCAACTCAAGTGGTACTCAAAAAAGTCATAAATCTGTCAGCTAGGAAATGGAAGTGTTGGGAAAAAACAAACAAAATTACAGAAATAATAAATCAAGTAAAAACCATAGAAGATAGTGCCAGAAGATAAAATTAAGCAGAAAAACACTATCAAAGATAGAGAAAAAGACTTGTAAAATAAAGCACTTAGAAAATAACCAAAAGAAGCAGAAGCAGCAGAAGCAGGAGGAGGAGAAGGAGGAGGAATACAATCATAGCTTACAGGGCTCAAATCACATGGTCTGGAACCGAAACATAACCAGACTTAAGAACTCATAGAATATAATGAAAAAGGAGAAATACAACCTAAAGGCAAAAAATCTATTCAATAAAAGGCATAA